AAAGAAAGAAAAAAAGAAAAAACTGTCACTCTGGAATTATATACCTAGCATTCTTTCAAAAATAAAAGCAAAATGAAGACCTTTTTGGACAAAATCTGAAAGAACACCAGCACACCTGCACTCTAAGAAATGTTAAAGAAATTCCTTCAAGCTGAAGAAGGAGAATAGAAGATAGAAATCTGAATCTACACAAAGGAATGAAGGGCACTAGAAATGGCAAGTCTGTGAATAAATATAAAATATTGTTAACTATTTTTAAAATCTTTTAGAAATATAATTGTTCATAGAAAAATGGAAGAAGTTAATAACTACAAATTGATTAACTAGGGGAAAATCACTAAAGAAAGTAACTGAGGTGGCGCCCGTAGCACAGGGTTTACGGTGCCAGCCACATATACCGAGACTGGCAGGTTGGAATCTGGCCCAGGCCAGCTACACAACAATGACAACTGCAATAAAAAATAGCCGGGCATTGTGGCAAGTGCCTGTGGTCCCAGCTACTTGGGAGGCTGAGGCAAGGGAATCGCTTAAGCCCAAGAGTTTGAGGGTGCTGTTAACTGTGACACCACAGCACTCTACCAAGGGCAACATCGTAAGACTGTCTCAAAAAAAAAAAGAAGAAGAAAGAACTTGAGGGTTAATACAGTTATAGGTTATAGGCAGGAATATGTTCCGTTATTAAATAATTTTGAGTGAAGGTAGATCCAGAACATGATTCTCAGACCAGAGCGTTAAAGAAAGGTAGTACTAAGTTTTTGATTAGGAAAATACATAGATATCAAAGGAAATAAGGAGAGAGGAAAGAAGATTAATATCAGATTATAGTTCAGAGCAAAAATTATTAGCTATTATTCAGGATTACAATAAAAGGGCCCAATTTTTTTTTTTTTTTTTTTAGACAGTCTTACTATGTCGCCCTTACTAGAGTGTCGTGGCATCACAGCTCACAGCAACCTCAAACTCTTAGGCTTAAGCAATTCTCTTGCCTCAGCCTCCCGAGTAGCTGGGACCATAGGCACCCGCCACAGTGCCCAGCTATTTTCTTATTATTGTTATCATTGTTGTTTAGCAGGCCCTGGCCAGGTTCAAACCCATCAGCCCCAGTACATGTGACCAGCACCCTAAGCACTGAGCTACAGGCACTGAGTCAAAACGGCCAATTTTTTTTTTTTTTTGAGACAGAGTCTCACTATGTTGCCCTCGGTAGAGTGCCATGGCATCACAGTTCACAGCAACCTCAAACTCTTAGGCTTAAGCAATTCTCTTGCCTCAGCCTCCCACGTAGCTGGGACTACAGGTGCCTACCACAACGCCCAGCTATTTTTTTGTTGCAGCTGTCATTGTTGTTTAGCTGGCCCAGGCTGGGTTTGAACCCGCCACCCTTGGTGCATGTGGCCGGCACCTATAACACTGTGCAATGGGTGCCGAGCCAAAAGGGCCAATTCTTAAAAACCTCACATGCTCATACACTAGAAAAAAAAGACAGACAAATTAAAATAATCATCAGCTTTGTGTTATCACCTCAGTCTATCAAATTACAAATACATTTTTAACAATTTTCACAAAGCAGCATGAAGAATAAATGAACCAGAGGGGGAATGGTGTGGAATTGAGAAAAATAAATCACAGAAGAGACACAGATTGCATAAAAGATAAAGAGATGGGACTGGAAGGTCTAGCCCAGCTGATGACTGCAGCCAGCCCCCAACTCTGTGAATAGCTTTATTTATATAGTAGCTAAACAAGGTTGCTTACACTAACAATGTTACAAATCAGCAAGGAAAGTGAGTGGGAATATTTCCATCTTACAAGGTCGAGGGGAAGTAAATGATGTTGAATCTTAGTACATGGGGTAAAGATTAACTTTAGGGAGAGAAGGCTATGTGCTTTTAGGCAAAAGATAGAAAGGTATACAGAAGCTCCATGACTTCTGGCAGAGGGAGCAAGGAGAAAGGACTATTGTTGTTTTAGGAAGGCAAGAGAAGCAGCTGGGAATAGTTCCTTGAATGCACCTCCTAGGGCTGTGGGGGTCTTGCTACCTCACAATCCACTCTCCACATATAGTAAGCTGGGCACAGTGGCTAATGCCTGTAAGCCCAGCACTCTGGGAGGCCAAGGCAGGTAGACTGCTTGAGTTCAGGAGTTTGAAATCAGCAAGACCCCGTTTCTACTAAAAATAGAAAAATTGAGGGAAGAGGATTTCTTGAGCCCAAGAGTTTGCAGTTGCTGTGATGACACCATGGCACTCTACTCAGGGTGACA